AGATCAGTACAAATTTATCTAAAATTTACTGACACAGTGCTTAGTATGAGTCAAACCCAATGCATTTATCCTTAAAATACAGTGAGATAGACAGGATTATCCACATTAAACTGAAACACAGAGAGGTTAGGTAGTTTATCCAAGTCACACAACTCATATGTAGAATTGCTGGGAACCAAACCCTGCAGCCTGATGGCTCCAGAGTTTATGTTCTTCTAAGCTATGCAAATATGTTGATCTCCTTACTTTTGTCTCCTAACTGCATTAACTGGACCTGCCCTTATGATGATATCTTTTCTGTGCGTAGAGGCTTTCCATAACTACCTGGAACTTCTGTCATGAGCTTATTTAGAGTTTCAGGGTATTTATTACAGCTTATTGTGAATTAATGATTGGCCATGTGGTATAGTGGGTGGCGTTATATGGCAATTATGCAAAATAGCCTTTCATTGCACCCCTAGTTATGTTAATACTAAACTCAGTCCATTACCTGAAATTGTCGATATGCAGTTGTTTTTCTCTGTACCTTATCTTTTATGCATAGGTAGGTCAGATTTTGTCATTTCATTACCATCATTCCCATCATAAAGTCAATGAAGTTCTTTGGTGGTTTGACACTTTTCTAGTGATTGATCGTATGAAGAATATCCAAAGATCCTATTGTACTAAACTGCTTCCATTCTTTATGAGAGATTGAGCTATAAATTTGGTGTTAAGTTCTCATTTTACTTCATCTGGAGGATCTTTGAAATTCCTTTCAAGGAAAATGCCATATTGCCCACAACCCTTTATTTTATTTGAGAACCTCTTTGAAAAAGAAGTAATATGGAAAATTATATATATTCTGCTTGCTTAATCTGTTACAGGAATGACTATGATTAAAGCTTTATTCTAATTTCAAAATAGTCCTTTTAAACAGCAGAAAGGTCAACAGCTTGACAAACTGGTCTTTAATATACCTAATCTCATTCAAAAGTATCCTTCAGTATTTTTTGTCTGAAAGTGCTCCTAATTACACATATCCATTCATGCAATAAATACATACTGTATGTCCTCCTGTAACTGTACAGGCCTTGTGACAGTAGTTTCAGTGAATAAAAGGCATGTCGTCCTCTTTCCTGGAGCTTATGTTCCAGTTGATTGCAATAAAGGTTAGGTAGGGATTAGAAAGGTCTAAGAATATACTATATAGTACACCACGTCTAGCTAACTTATCTTTAAAATTCTTGAGTTTAGTCTCTCATCTAATGCTGAGAGTCATTTCTAAGAGAAAGGAATGTGAAACCAAGCAAGAGCCCAGGGTCACAAGAGCCTTGTGATGATTGTTCTGTAGAGGCATCAGGCCCTGCCTTTGTGTCATGTACATGTAAAATACTTACATACTAACCATTCCAGGAGTATCTTTGCTTGAACTGTAAGGAATACACCTGCATTAACCCAGTACTTTTTAACTCATACCAGTCCATGTACACTTATACACAAGCACAAATTTCAGGTTATCATTTACTCAAAGACAATGCTATGGTTTGCAGTTGTTTCAATTGTAACAGTTTAAATTGTTGCTGTCTTTCAAGAAATCCCTCAGTGACCAGTATCTGGAGATGTCTCCAAAGCAGGGGAACAGATCTTAGAATTCACAGAAGAGGGACATAAGTGCTAATGGCACATTAACTTTTAATTTCTTGGCTTGTCATAGCTGCCTGCAGGTGTGTGTCCTGGCTGTGGGCTATTCTCAGGGCCTCAATTGTATTTGATATTTTCTTTAATAATGTTGCTTCCCCAAGGAGCTCTTCGATTTCTGAATTATTTTCAGTTCTCCTTCTCTAGATAGAGGAAAAATGAATTGGCAGATGAAGGTAATTATTGGTCCCTTTGTTTATTGAAGATTAGTTTTTTTGTTGTCCCATTTATTTCCTTGAGAGAGAGTTTTGGGATATGATGTTGTTTGGCCTTCTAGCGCTGAAGGTCCTCAGGTGTTCCTTTGGGTTTATATCATTACCTCCACCCCCATCATCACCACTATTACTCAAGTGGCCTCTGGGATGAATTCGCTCTTGTGGCATAGAGAGCTATTGTTACGCTGCAAAGGGTGTTTGCACTGAAGAGCTGCTGTTCCACTCTAGTCTGCTGAGGGGAAAGCTTGGCATTGGCAGGTACAAGATAACCTTGAGATGCACTTACTTTCCAAGATGAATTATTTTCCCCTGGCAGGAGAATTGGGAGCATTATAGGTGGATTGGGTAAAAACCCAAAGACCTCTTTCCTCATCCCCACACATGTTTTGAGTTCCCACCAACTGCCTCATGCTGGAGCATACCCTGTCACTATATTTTCTAAACTTGGTCCTGAAGTTCTTCATATTCCACTCTTTGGACACCCTTGAGCTTCTGTACAATGCTGATTTCTTGTGTGACTTTTGCTATGACTTAAACAGATACCCAATTGTTTTCCTAGCCCTCTTCCTGCTTTTGTAGGTTAGTTGTAGGACCCTGCCAGAGGAGAGGTTCGTGATTTGTCAACACAGATGACACAGAGGGAAGTTTTTTCCTTTTGGGGATATTTGTCAGCCATGCTTCTCTGTTTGTGGCCCCTCTTTTGTTTTTCTTTTTTAACCTTTATTAACTCTGGCCAGCAGCATTTAGGGAAACTAGTGAAACCTCTTTGTTGGGGTTGCTAGTCGTTAAACCCACCCCACCAGTCTGATCATCTTTGTCATATTTACCCATCTCTTTAGTTTAGACAAATTGATAAGACCTAACAGTAATTTCAGCGTATACATCTGACTTTAGGCGTCATCTTCTTATTTCCTTCATTTCTATATTATGACAGACAGTATTTCTTAAAAGAAAGATTGACCTTAACTCTAGCCCTTAATTGGCTTTCTCTTAAAACGTGATTAGATGGAGTGTTTGAGTGATGTGACAGTTGGAATTCTCAGGCAGCTGTCCTTTTCAAGATTTCCATATTCATTTTTCCAAATGAGTTTTTGAGGAACAGTTTGAAAGGATATCAGTGGTGCTCACCAGCACTGGGGCTGAACTTGATGCTCGTGCAGTATGCTGTCTTTAAGATGATCAGTGGGAACTGAAGACATGTTTAGAGAAGGGGATTCTGGACTTCCAGATTGTGGGGATGACTTCAGGCTGCATGACCCAATGTGTATCTTCAATGCAGGTATGTTAACCTTGGCCACGAACAAAATTTGTAAGACAGGCACTGCATGTTGGATCATGTATACCACATACTTGTTTCTCCTTAAAGTTTCATAAAGGAAAAGCATGCCTCACTGTGTCCATATCCATGTATTTATTGTATACTGGGATTAAACTGCTTTCTCATTTTAGATTCCTAACTTTCTAACCTATTTGTGTACATGTCCTTTTTTTCATTTACAACTTGAACTTCTGGTCTGTTCAGTCCTTGTTTGTGTGTTTTTTCCCCAAATTTCCTAACTCTGTGTTGGTATTGGGTGTAGTTAGTTGTGTTGGTTTGATTCACTTACTGTGAATCCAGTCTCAAGCATCATTGTGATCCTCATCTTATTTGGTCTTGATAGTCCTTAACTTGGTCTTTGAGAAGTTATGTCAGACTGAAATTACATGTAGAAGCATTTGATATTTTTTAAAAAGCAGGACTTTATAGGAATCTGGAAGTTTTAAACGACTGCTTCACCATAATGGGTAGGAATGCTGCAAGAATGTTGCCAAACTGTTCTCTATCAAATATTATTTCTGGGGGGCCTTTAAATGTGTAGCCATTTACCTTTCTCTGTTGTAATCAGTCTTTTTTAATTTAAAGAATTCTTTTTTAGAGCGACTTTAGTTTCACAGCAGCTGAGCAGGAAGTACAGAGTTCCCCTTTATGCCTTGCCCTCCCTAACACACACAGCCTTCCTCCACCAGCATCCCCCAGCAGAGTAGTACATTTGTTACAGTGGATGAACCTACATCGACACATCATCCAAAGTCTGTATTTTATGTTAGGGTTCACGCCTGGTGGTGTACATTCTATAGATTCGACAACCAGTGACATGTGTTCATCATTATCATGGCATACAGAATGGTCTCACTATCCTAAAATACACCCTGTACTCCTGTTAATTTCTGTCTCTTTCTCCTAACCCCTGGCAACCACTGATCTTTTTATTGTGTTTCTAGTTTTGCCTTTTCCAGACTGTCATATAGTCAGAACAAAATAGCATGTAGCTTTTTCAGATTGGCTTCTATCTCTCAGTAGTATGCTTTTAAGATTCCTCCCTGTCTTTTCATGGCTTGATAGCTCATTTCTCTTTAGAGCACAATAAACCCCCTTCTCAGATGTACCACAGTTTCACCTACTGAAGGACATCTTGGTTGCTTTCAAATTTGGAAAGTTATGAGTAAAGGCACTATAAGAATGCTTGTGCAGGTTTGAGTAGAATTAAGTTTTCAACTCATTTGGATAAATGCCAACGAGTATGGCTGTTGGAACATATGGTAAAAGTATGTTTAGTTTTGGGAGAAACCACCAAACTGTTTCAAGGTGGCTGTACAGTTTTTCATTACCACTGTCAGTGAGTGACGATTCCTGCTCCTCCATATCCACACCTGCATGTGTTGTCAGTGTTTCGGATTTTGACAATTCGGTTTGTAGTAGCAGCTCATTGCTTTAATTTGCATTTCACTGATGGCATATGGTGTGGAGCACCTTTTCATGTGCTTCTTTGCCATCTGTATATTATCTTTGGTGAGACGACCAGGTCTTTTGCCCATTTTTAAATCAGGTGGCTTATTTTCTTACTGTTAAGTTTTACGACTTCTTTGAATATTTTGGGTAACAGTCCTTCTAAGAGATACGGCTTTTGCATGTATTTTCTCCTGGTGTCAGATGTCTATGAATTATTTTTTAAAATTTTAGACCCAGCGAGCGAGGTGATCTTTACAGTTGTGCAGGCACATGTGGCTGCTTGGGAGCTACATTGCTAACAACCAACCTTTACTCTGTTGACCCTTTATTTTCAGGTCAATGTGACTGTAGACTACATCAGACCTGCCAGCCCAGCCACAGAGACGGTGCCTGCCTTTTCAGAACGTACCTGTGCCACTGTGACCATTGGAGGAATGTGAGTGTTCTGGCTGGCAGCGAACCAGCCGTAGCTGAGACTTCTCTCCTCAGTCAGGTCTCTCCTCCTCATCCTGAGTTGCTTTGTTATTCTTTTTACACAGGTTTTAAGTTGTTGTCTGTCTTTGTAGCACTGAATGTTCACTCAGCATTTTGTAATCACTCATTTGCTAATCATATTCTTTCATTACTATTTATGATTTATTTAGACTCTGTGCATGGCACTTTGTAGCACACATTGCTACAATTAATAATGCTATTTATTGTTAATCAGGCCCTATGTACTATCCAACATTAGTTAGAAAGATTCTGTGCATATTTGTTTTGGAAGTTCAATTGTAGACAGTAAGAAAATGTGGGGAGGAAAAGAGGTTAATTGGACATTTTCTTTGTGGAGATGTATTTAATCAGTATATGTCTGGGGCTTCTCTACTGCACTAGCTGTATCCTGGTTATTTTCCAAAGTCTCCTGGGAGCATGACTGATGAACAGAGTCTTTCCAGGGAGGTTTCTGATGGGGGAAGGAGGAAGCCTGCTGGGCCATGCCTCAACAATAAATATTAAAACAATCAGTCAGTCCCCAGTAGCAATTCTTACTCTGCCTAAAATATACCAGCATGGTAATTGGTTCCTTCTCTGCTTAACAATCTTAAATGCTGTTTGTTACCAAACTGGTATTTTTCCCTTATTTTAAGGGGGAATAGTGGAGGGGAAGAAAAGAATAGGTTTCTCATCAGAACAGGATTGTCTTATTGCAAGTACAGTGGAGCCTGTTAGGAGAAACACCTCTAAGCTTCAGCATGCCACTGAAAGGAAAGAGGATCTTGTAACTAATTTACCTTCCTGAAGCTCTCCTACCGAACAAGAGCCTTCCCAGCTCATTTGTGCTGTCACATTTGTAAATAAGTATTTTTAGTCACAGGGACTACTATATTTATGTTAACGGTAATGTTCACACAACAATCAGAGACTTCATCTTTGTGGAGAAGAGCTTAATACAGGCCTTTGTTATCTTTACCCCATCATCACAGGCTAAAAGTTATATTAGCAGGTTCTTGACAAATCAGATAACATTTTTGAATGGGAGAAACTACTAGATATTTTGGTCATTCTTCTACCTGGATAACTTATAGTCATGTCATTCCACTTTGTCACAGCTAAATGTATGCTATCCTGTGGAGAGATAGAGTTTGTATTCTTCTGTATTAAATTTTTTACTGTCACAAGCAAGGAGTCTTCTCAATAGGTAATTGCTCCTGCTATCTAATTACTACTAAAAACAACAGTGTCACTACTGTAAAAATGCACATCTTTATTTTTGGCACATGGCTTCTACCCTTGTTTATCTAACAGTCTATTAGAGTGTGTTTGTTTCATTTAGGTATCATGAGGTATATTTGAAAGTAAAATTACACTGCCTAAAATTAGATATTCTGAGAGTCTTTTATAGGGACTTTCTTAAAAGGACAGTTTGAAACATCTGACCTAAACTTTCCCAGAGTAGGGTGTGTGGCCATGCTCAGTGCTGTGAAAGCTTCAATTTCAACTGCGTTGATCTTGGCTTTGGTGGAGAATACTCCTTCAGGACAGCCTGTCTTTCTGCAGAGGTCAGATGACTCTGTTCAAGCCATGGTTTTAGTTAGATGTTCATGCCTTCCATTAGTAGGTTAACAGCAAAAGTTGATTGGTCTTAATTCATAACATAGAATATCTGTGCTTAAGGTTCATACCAGAGATGATAACCTTGATCTTTCTCTACCTCCCACTTCTTGTAACTGGATTATAAGATATATATTTTTGGATGATTTACCAAAGCATTTACCAGTGTATCCATTCATCTCAACATTTAAATAATCTCCATGGATCAGACCAGCCTAGCAGGTTCCCTGGGAAGCAGTATGAATTTCCTTGTAGGGTTGTTTCTTCTTAACTAGCCTTTGTGAGTCAACTGCTAATCAGGAGAAATGAAAGGATTTAGTTATATGTTGAGTCCAGTTGCTCACCAGACAGTAAGCTCCATGTCTAGGGGTTTTGTCTGTTTTATTCCCTGTTGTCGTCTCAGTGTTAAGCATATGCAATGAATTTGATAAATTTGTGAATGCGTTGTATTGCAAAGTGTTGCTTTATGAAGCCTAATCGGGAGTGCTTAACATGTCTCGACTGGGATAGTGGTTTCATTTGAGGTACAAGTTTGTTTTTATCTAATACTAAAAAACTTGTATCTAATAGTTTTCCTCTTTGTTAGGTCATTGGGACATCAGTGCCAAAGACAGGTCAAGTATAGAAGGCAGACTTAGTAGCTTGCTTTCATATTCTTGTCATACAAATAGCTTCTCTTTATTTTTCCATTGCCTTGATTTGTTTTTTATTCCAAATGATACTGTAGAAAAGTTGAGGTATGAATACATAAGAATGCTGAAATACTCAATTTATATTCAGAATTAAGGTATAGTAAAGCCTTGTATCTGAATTTAATGGTATTGAAAAACATTGGCTAGAGAAAGGATTTTTTAAATACAAATTTCAAAAATTTTGATTTTAATATAAGCATAAAAATGTACGTGCATTTCCAAATCTTTGATATTTGGGCAACATCATCAACTTTTTCATCTGGTGAATTGCATAACTTCCTCTTTTGACTTAAAAACACTTTATGGAACATTAGATTTTTGTGACGTAACATCCCCCTCACATTTTGCAGCCATTTTAAATCTGTTCCTCTTACTAATAAACCTTTTAAATGTATTCCACTATTTTCTTTCTTTTTTTCTCCACTTTTATTGATCTATCTATCTATCTATTTATTTATTATTTGGGTATCATTAATATACAGTTACATGAGCAACATTGTGGTTACTAGATTCACCCCATTATCAAGTCCCCACCACATACCCCATTACAGTCACTGTCCCTCAGTATTCTGTTTTCATAAGCACACATTCCTTGTATACTTGTTTCAGTTTTTAATAAAATATGTAATGAATTAAATAATTAATATAAGAAGCACAACCAGTGTAAGTAGAAATGGGGACAGACACGTGACTTAACAGGTTTGGAGTGAAGTATACAAGTGTGTTGGAGCAGCCCTCAGTCACTGTCATTAGCTGTAAGTTTTGCGGAGGTCACAGAATGTGCAGGTCTGTTAAGGAAGGGTTGCTTAAGAGCACTTCTAAAGTAATGCATGTCCTCTCTGAAAGACAGGCTTTGTTCACACTCAGAAATACTATAGAATTAAGAGGTGAGCTGATATAAATTATGCCTGTTGTCATGTGTAGGTTTACATACTGACAGATGGGTCTTCATATCATCCAGTGGCTTTCTTAGTATTCAAGAAATCAGCTGGACTTTTCTGAATATGAAAGAGCTTTCAGGTGGCTTATTACAGGGAAAGGAAGAGGTAGTGGGATGGAGTCTTTTTCAGGATTGTTTCAAAGCAGAATTTTAGATGTGTGTCATAAGCCTAACTGTGTGAGTTGTCTGTTTCTCGGATAGGTTTCATTCTTCTTCTGTTTCTCCTGTGAATGAATGGGAGTCGAGTCACAAGATCTCTGTGGTGCCTCTCTTTTGTGATAGTCTTTAGTTCTCCCCCATCTCCTGCCCTCTGGGGAATCAATGAAAATGGAGTTAATCATTCCTTTAGTAGATTAACTTCACCATGGTTTTGTCAGGAGTTGTTATCTGGTGATGAAAACAATTTAAATAAAAAATGAGAAGATCAAAGTCTGAGTTGTTTCTGATTCTCTGGCTCCTGTGTTGGGAATTAACTGATCCTTTTAGGCCTGGTTTGTGACCTGAAGCTGTCAAGATGGTGCTTCCTGTTAATTACTTTTTATTGTATTTAAGACACTTAAATAACTCTTCTTGTGATTTAGTCTTTATGTAATTAGCTTCAGTGATTAAAATCTCCTTCTTTGTTATTGTCAGAGCTTTCTTGAACAGTGAGAATTTTCTGGGGTGACCTTTCTGTTAGCTGGACATCTCAGTTACTTTGAGCTCCAATTTGGCAAACCCATACAATCTATTAACTAGCTGCTTATGTCTTTCTGCATATCACCTTCTCAAAAAAAAGATGGTAAAAGAAAATCTGTTCACATTTATAAGCAGTTACTTAAAAATATACCTAGAGTCAAGCCTCACACATACACATTCACACTGACCACCACCCACCCCTCAGCCCTGGAAAAGTGTCATATATTCAGATGCAGAATCACTGAGGTTTTTTCCCCTTGCTTTTCATTATATGAAGTGTTTCACAATGATAGGAGGCAGTAGACATGGTCTGTTCTGGCAGAGTGAAACAATGGCACAGAGATGGAACTATGGGATAGGAACAGTTGGAAAATGTCTGTGTATTTCCTGTACAAGAGCTCATTTTTTTAAAAAGGTGATTTGTTCTTCCTAACAGTGAAACAGACTATTACACTTGGAAGAAATAAGACTTCTTTTGCTTTGGTTCCAGTTTGCAGGGATCTGCAACTATTCTGTTAGTGATTGTCAAATGAGGTTAGGTCTTGTCCTTCTTCTGGAGTAATCTTTCCCTAATCTTAGTTGAGGTTTTCTCAGCCACAGAAGGAATAAGTATCATACAATCCCCAGCTTTTCTGGCTTGAATTCCATAGCTTCAAGGCTTTCACAATCAGGCCAAACATCTTCTGTCTCAAAGTTTTCAAATCTTAAAACACACTAATAGCTGGCTTTCAGGCTGAACATAGGAAGAAAGTAGTCTCCTGAAACCCTATTTTCTGGCCTAGTGTTCTTACTCCAAGTGGCCCATGAAATCCCAAAGGCACTCTTGAGGACTTCAGAGACAGTATTAACGTCAGTGGCCCCTCTAGGAACTGGGTGGTAGGCACCCTTTTCTCCACAAACTTACTGCTTATATTTGATTAAATTTAGTGTCCCCAGTATTTTCCTGCTTTGAAAGAAAGAGACACTAGAATAAGGGTTTTCCACTCCTCTTAAGTCAGAAACAATCCCCTAACCCCTCACCTTGAAAGAGAG